ATGCCATATTACCACCAGTACAGTACCAGTACACAGCCATACCAGCCAGTACCATACCAGTACCATACCAGTACCATGCCAGTACCATACCAGTACCATACAGTACCATACAGCACCATACCAGTACCATACAGCCACCATACCCCATACCAGTACCACCAGTACCCATGCCAGTACCATACAGTACCATGCAGTACCATGCCAGTACCATACCAGTACCATGCACATACCATACCAGTTACAGTACCAATACCATACCAGTACCATACCAGTACCATGCCAGTACCATACCAGTACCATACCAGTACCATGCCAGTACCATACCAGTACCATGCCAGTACCATACCAGTACCATACCAGCCACCATACCCACCATACCAGTACCGCCATACCAGTACCACCATACCACAACCATACCATACCATACCAGCACCATGCCAGTTCCTCCAAGCCATGTCACAGGCCGGTACAGTTACAAGTTACAAGTTACCTGGCCTACCTCCTCTCCTCCCCAACCCCCCCCCCCGCTACCGCTCACGTGATCCTTTTGGTGAATCAATCGAGCGGAAACAGGCTCTCGGATCCTTCTAGAATCCTATTTATGGCCCTTGTTGGCGTCGAAGGATTAGGTTTCGATCGTTTATGTCGACCTCTCTTTTTTTTTTTTTTTTTCCTTGGATCTTATACTTTTGTTTATTTTTTTCGTTTATTGTTTTTTTCCGGGGGGATGAGGGGGAGGGGGGTGGTTTAGATGTTGAATACGGATAGAGAGAAGAAAATAATAATCTGGAGGTAAAATGAGACGATGAATAAAGAGAAATAAGGAGAAAGGAGAAAGAGAAGAAGAAGAAGAACGGGAAATTTGTTGGAAGGGATTTTACAATTTTAACTCCTTGGGTGTATGGGTTTGTTCGCCCGCACTTCCTGTCTGGGACTGATGACGTCACGGATCTTGTCCCTCCACCCTCACCCCTCCCTTCTCCCTCCCTTTCTCCCTCCCTTCTCCCTCCCTCCCTTATCCATCCTCTACCTCCGCCTTTACCTCAATCTCTGCCTTACTTTCTCCACTACTCTCTCCCATCCATTCCCATCTTTAGCTATATCTCCTTATTCTTGTTTTCCCTCTCTCTCTCTTTCTCTCTTTCATCTTCCTCCTTACTCTCACCTTTTCACTCCCTCATTCTTCCTTACTTTCACCCTAACTCTCCCTTTCATTCTTCTTTCTCCCCACTCTCCCCCCCTACTTTCCCTCCCCCCTTCACTTCCTCTTTCTCCCCACCTCTCCCACCTTATTTTACCTTCTCTCCCTCTCTCACCCTCCACCCTCTCACCCTCTCACCCTCCCCCACCATCTCTCCCTCTCCCACCTTTCCCCACCTCTCCTCCTCCACCCTCTCCCCTCTCCCCCCTCCCCCACCTTCTCTCCTCTCCCCCTCTCCCCCTCCCCCACCCTCTCACCCTCTCACCCTCCCCATCATCTCTCCCTCCCCCCCCCACCACTTTACCCTCACTCCGACCTCAAAGCCAACCAGGTAGCATAATACAGAAAATGGGCGGGGGGGGGGAATATAGAAGATGGGGCGTGATGAGAAGAGAAAAAAAAAACAAAGTTTAGGCCGAATTTAAGGGCGTGAGAGACGAAAATCGCGGGCGTGGGAGACGTGGGAAGAGAGAATGGGCGTGAGTGAAATGATCGTGGGCGGGAAAGATGTCATTCATAGGCGTGAGAAATTCGACTCGCGGGCGTGAGGAAGATCAGAAGGAAAGAAAGAGTGGGCGTGATTTTTTTTAAATCAGAAAGATATGAAAATATGGGGCGTGAAAAAAAAAAAATGGGCGTGAGAACTAAAACCCTTTCGGCGTGAAAACGAAAAACCCATAGACAAGAAAAAGTAAAGAAATAACAGAACCATAAAAAGCGAGAGAGAGAGCGAGGAGAGAGAGAGAGATAGATAGAGATGGATAGAAAAGAAAGAAGAAAGACAGAGAAAGAAAGAAAAAGAAAGAAAGAAAGAAAGAAGAAAGAAGAAGAGAAGAAAAAAAAGAAAAGAAAAAGAAAAGAAAGAGAAAGAAAGAAAAAAAACAGATAAGAAAAGAGAGACCAAGCATGGGCGTGAGAATGTGAGAATGACGAAAATCGCCCCAAAAGAGGAAGAGAGAGGGCCGTGGGCGTGAGAATTCGTGTCCCTGTTTGAAGACCAAGCAGCGTTCTGGTTCATTAATGTTCTCAAAACACACAAAAAGTTCATTCTTGTAAATATCATTCGTCACTTGTTCTGCGTGTGAACATTTCCCTGGAGTCATGTGTCGTCATCTATCTCTTTCTTATTATTCTATTTGCCTTTCGCCTTTCGCACGATTTTTTTTATTCCCTTTTTTCTTTTTCTTCTTCTTCTTTTGTATTTCTTTTGCCATCTTCCATTTTATTTTATTTTTACGGGTTTTATGTATTGAGATATGTTATTTGTTTCTTAATTCCATTTTTGTATTATTATTATTGTTATTTTTTTATTACTTCTTTTTTTATTATTATTAATTTATTATTATTATTATTATTATTATTATTGTTATTATTATTTATTGTTATTATTATTATTATATTATTATTATTATTATTATTATTATTATTATTATTATTATTATTTATTATTATTATTATTATTATTATTATTATATTATTATTATTATTATATTATTATTATTATTATTATTATTATTATATATTATTATTATATTATTATTATTATTATTATTATCATTATCATTATTATTATTATTATTATTATTATTATTATTATTATTATTATTATTATTATTATTATTATTATTATTTATTATTATTATTATTATTATCATATCATATCATTATTATTATTAGCATTATTGTCATTGTTAGTTGTTTTTTTACTATGTCTTTTTTCGTTTTGTTATTGTTGGTATTACTGATATTATTATTATTTTGTTATTTTCATTATCATTATTGCCATTGTTATTATTATCTTTATTATTATTTTCATTATCATTATTATTATTATTATATTATTATTGATATGATATGATGATGATGATGATGATGATGATGATGATGATGATATGATTGATTGATTATTATTTATTATTATTATTATTATTATTATTATTATTATTATTATTATAATTACTGTTATTCTTGTTTTTTATTGTGATTATGATTATTATTATTATTAATTAATATCATTATCATTATTGTTGATGTTATTATTATTATTTTTGTTATCATTAATATATATAATAATTATTATATTGTTGTTGTTGTTGTATTATTATCATTATTGCTTTTGTTGTTGTTGATAATATTATAATCATCATTCTCACTAATGATAATACAAGTTGTATTAGTAGTAATATTAGTAGTAGTAATACCATTAACATCATTATTATAATAATAGTAATGCTAATGATGATGATGATTACTAGTAGTAGTAGTAGCTGTTATTGTAGAAAGTTAATAGTAGTAACTGTAGTAGATGTAGTAGTAGTAGTATCGTTACTATTGTTAATCTTATTATTAATAGTAGTAACATGAGTAGATGTAGTAGTAGTAGATGTAGTAGTAGTAGATGTAGTAGTAGTAGTAGTAGTAGTAGTAGATGTAGTAGTGTAGTAGTAGAAGTAGTTGTAGTAGTAGTAGTAGTAGTAGTTAGATGTAGTAACAGTAGATGTAGTAGTAGTAGTAGAGTAGTATGTAGTAGTAGATGTAGTAGTAGTAGATGTAGTAGTAGTAGAGTAGTAGTAGTAGTAGTAGATGTAGTAGTAGTAGTAGATGTAGTAGTAGTAGAGTAGTAGTAGTAGTAGATGTAGTAGTGTAGTAGAGTAGAGTAGTAGTAGTAGAGTAGTAGATGTAGTAGTAGTAGTGTAGTAGAGTGAGTAGATGTAGTAGTAGTAGTAGTAGATGTAGTAGTAGTGATGTAGTAGTAGTAGTAGAGTAGTGTAGTAGATGTAGTAGTGTAGATGTAGTAGTAGTAGTAGATGTAGTAGTAGTAGTAGATGTAGTAGTAGTAGATGTAGTAGTAGTAGAGTAGTAGTAGATGTAGTAGTAGTATCATTACTATTGTTAATATTATAATTTTCGAGATAATCATTATTATTACCGATTTTTTTTTCTCTCTCTCCATACCTTTGTCTTATTTTTTCTCTTCTGTGTTCTCACCTTCTATTCCCTTTCTCCCTTTCTTCGTATTTTCATTCCTTTTCCTTATTTTCCCTTCGTATTTTCATTCATTTTCCTTATTTTCTCTTCGCATTTTCATTCTTTTTCCTTATTCCCTCTACGTATTTTCATTCCTTTCCCTCATTCCCCTTTCGTTCTTCCTCTCTTTTATTCTATCACATTTTTAACTCCCTTCTTTTTTGTCCTCTTCTCTTTACCCTTTCCCCTATTCCTCGTTTTATCCTTCCTTCCTCCCATGCACCGTTCATCTCCTTTTCTTCCATTTCCTCCTGTTTTATCCTTCCTTCCTCCCAATTCCTTTCTTTTATCCCCCTTTCTCTCTTCCATTCCCTCCTGTTTTATTCTTCCTTTCTCCCATGCACCTTTTATCTCCTCCCTTTCTTCCATTCCCTCCTGTTTTATCCTTCCTTTCTCCCATTCCTTTCTTTTATCCCCCTTCCTCTCTTCCATTCCCTCCTGTTTTATTCTTCCTTTCTCCCATGCACCTTTATCTCCTTTTCTTCCATTCCCTCCTGTTTTATCCTTCCTTCCTCCCAATTCCTTTCTTTTATCCCCCTTTCTCTCTTCCATTCCCTCCTGTTTTATTCTTCCTTTCTCCCATGCATTTTTCTCCCTTTTCTTCCATTCCCTCCTGTTTTATCCTTCCTTCCTCCCAATTCCTTTCTTTTATCCCTCTTTCTCTTCATCCTCTTCGTCTTGTCATGTTTAATCAGTCCCCGCCTCGCTTCCCTTATACACGGATAGGTTCAGAACCCCTTTTTGAACTCTTTCCCTTATTCAGACCCATTTCAATGTGTTTGGATTCCGCCCTGATGCTCTCTCGCGATCGTCATTTTTTTTTTTTTTTTTTTTTTTAAGGAGGGAGGGGAGGTTTGGTTTTAGTTTTGTTGATGTTGTTGTTTGTTTTATTTTCTCTGTTTTTCTGCTTTATTGTAATGTATATAATATATGTATATATATATATATATATAATATGATATAATATATATATATATATATATATATATATGATATATATATATATATAATTATCATATTTTTTTTCTTCTCTCTCTCTCTCTCTCTTATCCCTCCATCTCTCTCTCTCTCTCTCTCTCTCTCTCTCTCTCTCTCTCTCTCTCTCTCTCTCTCTCTCTCTCTCTCTCTCTCTCTCTCTCTCTCTCTCTCTCTCTCTCGGCGTGCGCAAGGTATAAAGGAAAAAAAGAAGAATACAGATTACAAGCACATACGACCCGATTCCCTTTGTAGGAGATTAATGTTCGGAACGGCCTCTAAAGGAGGGTTGGAATCGGATTTATATGTTTTTGATTCGATGTTCTCTCTGCTCTTTTGGCGGGAAATACTCCTCGATGTTGGGGACTTCTGATCCTTATGATTTTTT